GTGGCGTCTAGAGTTGAGTATGAGTCTAAGTGTATGAGAATGAGATAAATGAATTGAGTACAAGAATGAGAATGATAAAGAGTATGAGTATGAGTATGAGTACGAGTACGAGTATGAGTATGAGTACGAGAATGAGAATGAGAATGTGAATGAGAAAGTGGATAAGAACATATATGAGAATGAAGTCGTGTCAATAAACTTGTTTGAAGTCTTGTTTGGGCCACCGAGAACGGGTGGGCGTCTAAAGTCTAGGATGTGTTGGCCCAACGGAGGACGTTCCCGTGGGCGGAAAGTGAAAGGCCGTGTACGGACGGCGACCGCCGAGGCGGGGTAAAGTTAGGAATAGGCGCCTTAAGATCGAGTCAATGCCGAGTCGTGGCAAATTGTGACCATCTGACCGTGTACGGACGGGAGCCGCGGGTAGACAGTGTTGCACGTGGGCCTACGGGTGACGCACGTGGACCAACGAGCTCCCCGCGGGTGGTTACTAGGAAGCTGGAGGGGGGAAATGGTTTCTCTTAAATGAGCACCCCTTTCAGTATAGGACGGAACGGGTGTGGGACATCCGTAAACGACCATAGGTCCTAGAGGTCTAGGTTGATTGATGAGTCTAGTTGGAAGGGATGTTTGTGTGAATGAATCCATGTGAAGTGATGGCTGAGTCCTCGCAAATGTATGAACGTTAGGGTGCTAGATTTCTATGTTGAGATGTTGTTGTACGGCTTGTTTGATGCATTTTGATTGTAGTGGCTAGTCAGTCTTGATTTCCGTATGAGGTAGCGTAGAGTATCATGCGGGCAGGCTGGTCTAAAGTCACTTCACTGAGTAATCCCAATTGCTCATTCCTCCATCTCTACTTCCTATGCGCAGGACTGTATGTAGAAGTATGTGGATAAGGGTGGATCGAATTTCATTAAAGATGCGTCCGCCGACTCCTGGGGCCAGTAAGGATACGTAGGGTTGTCTAATTGAGTAGACACGTGTCCGTAGCACCCGTTTGCTGAACCCCGATCGGGCGCCGGGGGAACGGGTTGTTACAATTTAGTCTTTTGACATCCAAAAATATACGCAAAAGAATCGACTGTACGCAAGTGAGTACTCGACTGTCCATGCAGTTATAACCCAATATTGGATTACTATCACAAGTGCGGTTTAAATAATTCTAAAATAATTTGACCCAAAAAAAATTATACTAAATAATATGTATTTTCTCATGCATGTCCAGATGTTCTGATAGTGTACTCCCTGCCATGTTTCTTTTTGCTAAGATTTTCTCGTGCAAGACACTGTTCTTAATTGAAGATATGCAAAGCTATGGTGAATAATAATCGTCTTGCATCTTTCAGCAGCACTATTAGGCCGGTTTCTGAAACTTTCATGTCCTCAATAAAACTTGGAAATATTATAATACTCTAATATGAATCCATGATACCCTAAAGAGAGATTTTTTATTTATTTACGAAAGCTGTATGGTATAGCTGTTAAAAGTGTTAAGAACAGCTGCCTTTTTTAATTTGATGTTATTGGGAGAGTTGATACGGTAATGGACTGGTCACTCTCCCTTCACTTATATACTTTTTCGCACATGATGTTGCAGAGGGAGAATTTCTTCCAGAGCTTTGGAGAAACCATTTTGTAGCAAGTGGCTTTTCTCTGGTCAATAAACAAGACATTAGACACCGCAGCGTATAAATTATTCATTCACTTCGTGTCCTCTTTGGTCTGCAGCGTATAAACCTATTGCTCAGGGTGTCTATCAGGCAAGCAATAATGGATTAATCTTTAACATTGCCTGTGAGTTGTAATAATGTGGACTTACTATGTCGCCACCTTAAGATTGGAAGGAACACGACATATAGTGAGCATTAGGTTTGCATCCATTGCAACCTTTCACCAAACTCATTGTTTTTTAGGGAACGTTCAATATCAACTACGCGTCTGTTACCGGAGACTCTGGTGAAGCAGTAACGGAAATTTTATCTTTACTCTTTACCAGGATGTTCAATATGGGGCATGCAATATAAAAATATTAGACCGGGTGATTGTAGTCGAGTGGTAAAGAGACGGGGCTGAGACCCCAACATGTTTTAGATTCGATTCACCTGCTGCGCGAAACTAAGTCACAATTATTCTGGTCACCTAACACGGATATGGGTCTATGATTTAGGACCTATTTGAATACTCGGAGAGAGGGTCTATCCGTGGGCACATGCCACACCTAGTCCCTCTCTGCGTCCGCCCCTCAGTCGAAGTTTGTGGACGTTTTCCCTTCTTGTATGTGACTTGGTTTTTGTTGTATAACGTCTTTTTTTTTGGGAATGCTGAAATATTGAACAACACGTTTGAGTTAGCAGATAGATTGTGGGAATCTACAAAACAGACAAGTGTACAAAGAGCATCACAATCAATCCTAAAAACTTTGCAATCTGTCAGAAAACTTTTGCGTAAGTCTTACCAAACAAACATCTCTACATTAAGCACTTTGCATAATTAATGTATTTTCTAAGTAATTTGACTTTTAGGATTAAGATCTGATTTCTGCTCAAAAAAGGATTAAGACCTGATTAGTATGATTAAAACCATTCATCAGATGCCAATCTGTACAAAACACAATGCTTATTTAAATGCATTCTTAAGGATTATATTAATATTTCCTGCAAATAAATTAATGTGAATACTAGTGGGTTACCACAGAAAAGAAAACAAAAGATAGTTGAAAAATCGTATACAGAAATTGAAGATTAATCTAAATTAAATTTATAATAAAAAGTCGAAAAAAGAAAATCTAATATAAGTATACAAAAAGTCAAACATCTTGCCGTATCATATAGACTGTTCTAATGGTTTGCCAAAACAATTGGAGGGTTGTGTTGACTTATCATAGTTATCTCAAAAGTTGTGAAAGGTATTTGATTGGATGTTTTTGTTTCCAACTAAATATATTTAGAGATTATTTGCCAATATACCCCAAATGGAGATATATATTAGCCACTTATCCATAGTGTGAGACAATTATTTTTTATATCATTTCATCTTTACCTAGGAACTGTACCTAATATAGGTGTGTAAGTCATGCTATTAATCTATTTTATACATGAATTTTTTCTTATGAACTTTTTTTCTTACGTTCTCTCTTTCTATTTTATATATTTTTTCTCTAAATTTTTATTTTCTGTGTTTTCATGAGATTGATCCTAAAAAAACAAACTATTTTTTTTTGTTTATAAGAGATTAATAATGTTTTACAATTTTATTATGATATTTTCTATTGTTTAATTATATAACATAAAATATGTTTTCTTTTTCTGTGTTTTCATAAGATTGATCCTACAGAAACAAACTATTTTTTTGTTTATCAGAGCATAATAATGTTTTACAATTTTATTATGAAATTTTATATTGTTTAATTATATGACATAAAATATGTTAACAAATATTATAGATGTTAACAGAGGTGTTAACAGAGACGTTAAGTGTTAACAAATATTTATAGATGCTAACAGAGGTGTTAACTGTTAACAATACATGTACCATAAGTGTTAACAAAGGTGTTAGCTGCTAATAAATATTTTAGATGTTAACAAATGTGTTAGTTATTAATAAATACATATACCAAATATATTAATATAGGTTTTGAAACTTTGTGTGAATCTTAGTTAAATTTTATCAACTTTTTTTTTTGAATCTTAGTAGAAGACAAAGATAAATCGAGTTTTGAATTTGAATTTTTTTCTTTCTAAAAGCTTGATTGATAAAAGAAAGAGATGAGAATGGGGAAATAAAATCATAAAATTGATTTAAAAAAAATATTAGAGGAGATAATGGTCTCAGCGATGTCACTATAGAAAATAGAAACTTTTATCTTAAGACAAGGTTATTTTCGTCTAATTGCCTCATAAAATGTATAAGAAATACTATTAATGTTAATTCATGTACAAGTCACTAATTGAGAAGTGTATTAGGTGTATTTGGCTAATTCACTCATATATTTATAGTACGTACAAGCTGGATTACAAGAAAAAAATAATCATAAGATACAACTCAAATTACACAAAACAGTACGACAAATACTTCATTCTTTGTGTTTTGTAACCCAACTCATAACGCTCGTACTTGAGTAGAAGATATAGATGAGAGAGTGACTTCAACACACATCTCGATGGAACAACAGCACACAAGTTCTTCAAGCTGTAGGAGGATCTTCGTGTACAAACTTCTCATACTCTTCCCTTGTTCTCCCATTTGGATTCTTCTTCCATTCTATAAATTTCTTGGCCGCTTTTATGAAATTAATAAATAAATCAGTCTATATTACAATTTTTTTTAAGATTTATAAATCTACGCTTATTTGTACACTATACTAATTATTAATAAAATTAATAAATAAATCTTAAAAATCACTCATGTTCTCTTTACAGTTATATAAATAAATTATTTTACTTAATTAACATTTAGTTATTTGTTTACTGTTTTTGAATTTTGAACTTTTTCTTTATAAGATATTTTTGGATAACAATAAAGTATATATATGAATTATTTTTTATTTTTAATATATATTTTTAGGTTTTGGATAATTCTATAATTGTTAGTTTTATTCACTTATCTAAACATTTTTTTAATTAGTTTCTATTTTTTACCTAATTTATATATTTATTTATTAAGAGTATAAACGATATTTAATATCTCTAAAAAGCTTTGATGCGGAATTTATTATTGTTTTTGAGTTTTGAACTTTTATTTAACATAGATTTTTGGATAACAACACAATATATATATATATATATGAATTCTTATTTATTTTAATATATATTTATAGGTTTTGGATAATAATTATTATTGTTAGTTTTAATTACTTATCTAAACAAATAAAATTTAAATTTGTTACTATTTATTGGCTAATTTATATTTATTCATTAAATATATCTAACCACTTTAATTTTTAACGTGAGAGCACCTCAGCTTTGCAAAGAATCATATAGATTTTACCAAAAAAATACTTAGCACATATACCTCTTGTTCATATATAATTATATATAATACAACATCGAACATCTTGGTGTTCGGGACTTACAAAGTTTTATTATAATCTTATGGCTTCTGAAATGATCAGACCCTTTTATTGTTGAGTACAAGATAGATAAAGGAACACATATTCTTCAAGCCATGGGAGGATCTTCATGTACAAACTTCTCAAACTCTTCCCTTGTCCTCCCATTTGGATTCTTCTTCCACTCGATGAACTTCCTGGACGCCTCTATGAACTTCTCCATGTGAAGCTGCTTCCATTCCTACCAAAATCAAATATCCACACAAAGTGTTTGCGTGAAAACGATTAAGCAACATAAACCTAAAAAATACTTGTTATTAGTTTCTGATGCTAAGGAGCGTGTGAAACCTCAAAATCCCATTCTCCATACATGTCAGGATCATCCTTGTTTGCCCATATATAGGCTTCAACTTGCATTTTCTCGGATGTATCCTGCATAAAGGGGAGATCATATCTTTAAGCTCTAAGCAATATCACCATAAAAGATCATTAGAGATTATGAAGTGAAACTTACAGTCAATACAACCTCAACAGTTTTCCTCTCGTATTCAGCTCCTTCAATCATATCTAAGTTCTCTAGCTGAGCATTTGTTACTCCGGTTAGTACCTGCACAAACCATCAACCATTTTAAGATTTCGAGAACTAATAATTATAAAAAATAATACAAGTTAGAAAATAATAAAAGGTTAAATTTTCCTTCATCACATGTGAATTCAAATGAACCAAAAATTTGTTTGCGTGCATTAGAAAATAAATATTTTGGAGTATATTAAAGCGGAGATAAACAAGAAAAAAATATTCATAGCTTCAAAAAACTCATGAAATGAATTAATACCCAAATTAAATAAGATCCTCTAATGATACTTGGTTGGTTAAGATTATAATACCCCAAGAAGGCTAACTTATTTATAGTTAGTCTCCTAACCTATCAGCTAGCTTGACGCGCACGTAAGAAAATCGTTTTCTTGTGAAAGAAGTAATTACATGCACAAGAAGTTTTTGAGGATTAGGTTTGTTCGTTAAAAGAAGAAAAAGATGAGAAATAAAACCTTGCCGTTAATTACACCGGTCTCAAAAGGAGCAATACAAGGATGCAAACGCCCTTTGAGTCTGTACCTGTGACTGCAATATCCCCAAAACCCTAATTTAGTATATCTTCACAGAATTTAAGCCAAAAGGAAGATAAAGAGATGTGTAAAGTAAGATGTTGTACAAGCCGTGGAGTTGAGCAGAGACGATGACGGGAGTGCATTCGAGGATCAAACCCACGACGGCTGGCTCCTGGAAACTGCCGTAGACAAAGACGTTGTGCAAGGGAGATTCAGAACTACTCATCTTGTTCTTCCTCTGACAAGACAAGACACTGATTTGATGAGTTAGAAGTGATCTGTTTATAAGCTCGTATCGTAGCCTACTTTCTTTGACTATTCGTCTTCCTTAATTTCTTGGTTATTTGGTAAAATTGTAGGAGATCATTGTTTTCTTGTTCATTTCCCTTGCCAATAGTCATACTCTGTTTCCATCATAAATAAATGCATACTTTTCTGACTACTTTTCTTGGTTAAGTATTATTTTTTGTCTTGAACATTTAAAATAGTAATTGAAGTTGATTGTACGTGTGTATGTGACGTTGTTGACATTGTCGTCACATCTTAAATTACAATTAAACATAGGCCATATGACAAAGAAAAAAAACATAGGCCGTACACAACAATGCAAAACCAAAAAGCCTACATGGTGTAACATTAGGGGCTATTAGTTTTCTTTTTCTTAATTTTTTGTCTGTTTTTTTTTTTTTTAAATAATCAATCGTAGACCGACATATGTCGTGGGAGTCACGAACAGTACAAAAATTTGATTCTTGCATAAAGAACAGAAAATATGAGTTTTAAAAAAATGGTGAGTCCCACCTCTTAAGAACCCACTTAAGAAGTGGATTAATGTGCTCTTAATATATTTGTGTCCATGTTCATTTATAAACTGATATTATACTATAGTTGATACATTTTCAAATTGTTGAAAATCTCAAAAAGAAATGTTAAAAATTGGTAAAATAACTAATGAACTATACACCTCTAATAGCTAATTGTATTGTACTGTACACATAAAAGAAATGTAAAAGTGAGAACTCTTAAATGTCATCAAAACCCCAACAGGAATATGTGATTTGTTCTTGAGACTATTCACCCACTATACAAAGTAATATGATTTCAAAAACATATACTTCTACTGTCAATTATAAATTGTCTTTTTTATATAACACATACCAACTCCTAAACCTCATCGTCGCTTCCTTCTGGTCCATGGAGTCCGCTCCTACATATTGTTTTGTTTGTTGTTGAATTAGTGAAACCATTCCTATAGATAGAGGATTTAACAAAGTAAAAATATGACATTACCTCAAAACCCAGTAAGGACCCCCCTTATCACTTACCTGTGAGAAAGAAACCACAACACCATGAACACACACATAAAGTTGAAGAATCGAGTTTTGGGGTCTTTTCTTACCCCATAAAAGCCGATGATATTGGCACAACCGACACACACGATATGTTGCAAAGCAGAACTGGACGTTCTTTCAGCCAGAAACGTGTTGAAGCTGCCATTAAAATAAAGGATATATACTGGTTAAAAAATTCTCAAGCAACATGAAACAACTCAGAAGCATATATATAATATACTTACAGTCTACTGAAGTTTAGGATCTGCTTAGAGATGATATCACTGGGGAGTCCGAGATGTGTGTGGCACTCTATGCATGTGTAGACGAGTGCCTCGAGTTCTATCACGAACACTCTTCCCATCTCCACCAACCTGGAGACTTGTCCCACAAGATCATGCATTGAGTCTAGAGAAGGTTAAAACGAAGTGACGAAGGAACTGAAACAGGGAAGAGAACTAGACAAGTACAACGACAATCATCAAGAACAATCAACGAGAAATTCAAGAAACT